ATTCCCATCCCGCCGGCGGCACCATTCACGCTCATCCCACCGCCGCCTCCACCGCCGACCGGGCCTACGCCGCGCTTCGTGTGCAGATTCTTCTTCGCCATCTCTGCTTTGAGGACCGCGCCCTTGTCGATGTCGACGCGGCGCCCCTGCAGCACGTCCCGCGCGCCTAGCGCCTCCTCACGTGTGCGAAACTTGGCGAAGCCGATTATCTGCTTCCGCGGGGGGAGAGCGCCGGGGCCTGCACCGTAGTGGCCCTGCTGCGGACCAGCTTGTGATTGCGATTGGGTCTGGGCTTGCTGTTGGTTAGGGTCGTCGGATGGCGGCGGCGCAGCAGGCCACGAGGCTATACCGTCGCGGCCAGCGTCGACGACAACGCCGCCCTGGTTGACGGTGACGAGGTTGTATGGGTCATTGGAGCCTGCGTAGCTATTGTACTGGCCTGCACCGCCGAGGGCGCGCTGTTGCTGGCCGGAGCCAGGGAGGAGCACACCCCCATACGCGGTGTACTCTTTGTTGGGGATCTTGAGGGTTGCGGCTTCGAAACCGGGGGAGAAAGTGAACATGTTTTGGAATTCGCGTTCCTTGAAAAGAGTTAGGTCATGCAAGTTCAGGTTGTTGAGAAGAAGAAAGGAAAGAGAGATATATATGCGCATATATCGGGACCCTCCGTGGCCTGCCCTCGCAGGGACGTATATACACAAAATTACGCCGCGCAAAGTGGATGTCTGCATTGTGAACCAAGGGCCGCCGTCTGAGGACAGAGTCCGCGCAGACGCAGATGTATGTGCTCACAAAAGTGACCATACACCCATATTCGAGGCGGGCAGAAGTAGCACGCAAGCATACGTGGACAGTGACTCACCTGCATATCCTCCGGAAAACCGACGACGAAGATGGTGGAGATGTCCTCTTGCATGTTCCCGAGCATGGCCGGCGGGGGTAGGCCCGCGCCGTTCATGGGGCCCATTGCGGGGACGTGGGGGCCGTACGGGGTCTGCGAGTGCATGCCACCGTTGACATACGGCGCAGCGTAGCCATTGAGCTTGGACGACTGAGGCGGTGGATACTCTGTAGGGGGTTGAGGGTACGCGGCTTTGAAGTCGAAACTCGCGCGGGGGTCGTAGGCCTGAAGGACGGGCGAGGTAAGCTGGGGCGCGAAAGCGTCGGCCTGGGCGGGGTAGAACTGCGGAGCGGTCGCGGAAGGGGGCTCCCGGAAGGACTGGGGACGGGTGGTGGCGCGGGTGGCATTCGGGATGGCGGTGAAAGACGCGCGAGGGTAGAACTGGGTCATTTTTGACGGAACGAAGTCGTGGACGTCTTGGACGTGGGAGGGGGCGTGATACGGGACGTGAGGCGAGCCGTGGGAGGAGTCGTCGGAGGCAGAGGAAGAGACGGGCTCAGCGTCAGCCTGGGCGTCGAGCTGGTCGAGGAGAGACTTGTTGAGGAAGCCCTCGTCGGACGGCGGGGGATGGAGCGTGGGGTAGAGCATGCGGTGGGGAAGGGGGCGGGAGTGCGGACGAAGACACGGGCAGGCGTCGGGCGTCGAGGTCGGCGACGGCGAAGACGGCGGGGACGCGGGGCGAGGGGGCGGCACCGATCGATATGTGTGTATTTCGTGATGAGGGTGAAGAGTGAAGAGAAGCCCGTAAACAAATCCGCGTGATCTGCAAACAACGCACGGGCCATTCGCAAATACCGGCATCTCGGCACACACAATGCACAAAGGAAATCCTCAGCTTTGCAGCCCAAAACAAAGCAACTTGCGACGCACCATTGTCCCTTGACTGCTGTCCTATGGCTTGTCACCGCCATCCATCTCCATCGCCATGCAAGGTGTGGCCACTCATCTCGTCCCCGCGATGCCTCTCCTGTCTGCACCGTCCAGCGGTCCCCAGTGGTCTCCGTTGACAGCAGAGCACACTCACCGCTGTCCCTAACGGTCCAGCAGCGCCCACCCAGCGTCGAGTCCAGCATCCAGAGAGGGTAGAAGAGGGCCGTCACCAGCGTGACTCCACGCGCATCAATTGACACACGTCTTGATTGCCACCCACAAGAGCAAAATTATACGAGGCCCGAACTGCCGACCGGGTTCATTTTCCGACCGCCCGGCTATCGCGTCGCGCAGGAAAATGCACGCGTCTAGCGTCTCAATTAGACTTTTCCCGCAAATTAACGCTCTAGGGACGCGTGAGTACTACACTGGACTTTGGCGGACTTTGGCTCTCGCTATTTTACGCGTCCAAGTAAATAACCGAACCGTATCGGAATTCAAAAGACACGGAAAGACATACAGTAACACAGCTTCTCAACAATCTCCGCGTCCAGATCAATGAATCACCGCGTGTTGTTCTGTTGTGCACGCACGCATTCGGATTTGAAAGCATGGTAAGACATACACAGCTTCAAGTCAACAATCTCTAACAATCTCCGTGATGAATCCCCACGGGTCAGTGTTCTGTACAGCCGCACGCATTCGTTTGATTTCTTAATCTTCCATCGGTGAGTACAGTCCAGCTTCTCCAATATACAATGCTTCAATTTTTTCATTCACATGACCTATCTGCCTTCCGCCTTAACACGAACTCGCGGTTTCAATCATCACTTCATTCAACAATACAGCTGGCTACAAGACAAGATGGATTGAATACAGTGTCAAAATACAGATACATATGCAATATACAGCGAAGAGATAGGTATCACGTATCGTAATGAATGTCTGTGCTGGTTCCCCCAGTGATAAAGCGGGCAAGGAAGGGAAACGAGAGGCAGGACATTTGAGGCAATGCCATTCGAGTTGTCGTCGACACAAAATCAGATATTGAAGCATTCGTCCAGAGACAGAACCAGGCCTACTTGCGGACTAGAAGCCGGGTCTTGGTCTTGCTGAGCGATACAAGAGAAACCAAGAGGTGAACTGCTTAGAGGCGGCGAGTTTGATGAGAAGAAGGGGCGGCGCGAGCGTGTTGAGGCTGAGGAAGCCCCTCGTTAGTCTGGATGCGATGTCGTGATTGAGGATGAGGCATACTGATATTGTGGGGAGTCAAGGGACTCGGGGCGAGTCTCGCGGATTGATGTGCCTCATATTCTCCGTACTTCCGCCCGGATTCGGAGCAGTCGAGGGGCTGCGTGGTCGCGTAGCTGCATGAAAGCTGTGGCGTGCACTGGCTAAGATGCTTGCGGATATGTTCTCGTCAGACGGGCGGTGCTTTCGCTGGTCCGGGAAAACATTAGAAGATGAAGCCTGCGCAGGCCCGCCCCCCGACCTTGGTGACCTCCTGCGTGAAGCCCTCCAAAAGGACAGGTATATCTCCACTGCTCGATGTCTCACCCCGCCAAGCCGTCTTCGATGCCGTCCGCGAAGTATCTATCTTCAAGGTGGCGGGCAGGGCCGTCTGCAGAAACACATTTCAGTACTGTATGAACGGGGAGCGAATGTGATGTCGGATGTACGGGGACAAGAACCAGGCCGGCATTACTAGCCTCGGACACCGCATCGGATTTACGGGCGCGCAGGATGCTCGGCTCGGAGGGCGTCGACTACCAAATTATAATTCAGGATGGCCCACAAGGCGGTCTCGCATCGCTAACCTCGAACTTATCCCAAAATGCGCTCATGCGCACGATCGTCGAGGGCGTCGACTAGAAAGTCGTATGACACGTTGACAGCACCGTAGAGCCACACATACCGGGGCAACAAGCGGACCAATATTCTTGCCGCTCTCAACGGTCTGGATAGGTGGGGCGGCCGAAGAAAATGGGGGAGATGGACTCGGAGTAGCATCAAATTCTCCCACTAGGTTGATCCCATCCGTAGATTTGGGAGGTTCCGTCGCACGCTGCAGCTCCTGCATCCGTTGAAGGATGAGAATATCTGCGAAGATTAGAAGTACCTCAACTGTGAATCAAAGGGAAACGAACCGCCGGGGCAATGAGGCCCCCTCTGGGATGATTGGGTCACTCGCTCGGTCCGTTTTCTATTCGATTGGCTAAGCCGCCCGGCGTGAGTGGATGATTAGACTGTGCGAGGGGGCGGGACGCACCAGGAGTTGTAAGTCGTCATTGCGACTCGAATCAGTGGTACAAAGAGATCGATGATCCAGCTGCAAACACTCTCAAGACCAACATCCTGCCATAGCGCTCCGAGAAATATGAGGAAGCTTCGGCTGACCGCTTCCCGACTCAACACAAGAGGCGCGGCCCCTGGGTGATGGGGTTTGCGAAGTATCTCTGCAAACACCTTTTCACAGAGCAGCGAGTTTTCGAGGATCTTGTAACAGTGGTGAGGTGAGTGATGAATGATCAAGGTGCCGTGCTCACCCCAAAGAAGCCAAGCGGGCACCCGTTAGCAACCCCGCCGTTTTCCCCGACGAACGCGACCATAAAGGCATACTTAAGGCTCCCCCAGCCCTTGATGCGGAATCCTTCACGAACTGCTGCCGCGGGGGCAAGCATCGCGTCCCAGGTCGTGTCCAGCACCCCGGGAGGAAAGGATACTTCGTAGAACCGTTGTCGGATTTCGTTCACTGCTGCATCAGTAATCATTCGCTCGGGCTTCAGCATGGCGGGCGGGTACTTCAACTTCGTAGCTGGTGGTTGGAGAGAAGAACGGTCACGTGCAATGCAGAAGCATCACAGGCTTAGGGCTAAGCGATTCCAATCAAGCGCGTCTCGCGTATGTCATGTCGTCCGCGAAATCCAAAGCCAAATACCACCTATAGACCAGCAAAAAAACCAGGTGTGCCCATTTACCCAAACTCAGACCCGCACAATTCTACGTGTTCCATACAACTTCCAGACCGAATGCTCTGAGAAGGAAGCAACCACAGTCTCAGTCTCGGGTCTGCCAAGATCTCGAGCTACGCAACCTTGATATTTAATGGTGATTCTGGTGAGACCGCTCAACTCATCCGTATTTCTCCTGGACTCACTGCCTCATTACACAGCATCTCTTGCGCCTCACAAATGCAGCACGTATGCTACAACAAATCGTATGTTTCTGTGCCTCCGTGGTCAAACGGTTAATTGGCAAGAAAATGTGTGGTGTGACCAACCGCACGAGGGTTCGATCCCCTCCGGAGGCACTTGTTATGTGGCTGTTGTGAGCCGGTCAAGAAGTGCGACACGCGCCGCCGGGGTGATCTAGTACTGGTCAGCTAGAGTTCAGAGTTCGCTTTATCAGTCAGCGATAGCCTCGCCCCATCAGGCATTCTTTTTTTCTTCCAGTTACTTTTCATTTCAAGTTGGTGAGGGGTACATAGCTCTAGCTTCTAGGGATTTCTTCGAGCCAAGTGATTTAGGGGCCCTAGTAGGCCTCAGGCCTCTGAATCAGGACTCGCAACATCCAACAGACAAGACAAACGAGTTCCTAGCTATGGTCACCGACCCCATGAATACGAAGCGCGAGAAGTTCGCACTTCAACTTTCGACTCAGGTCTCAGTTCTCAGTTCAAAAGTCCTTGAGTTCGAGTCTCAATGTATGTATTTATTTAATTATATTTCTCACTCATCCAACCTCCTACGTTCCCCTCGTCTATGTATGCCAAGCAGTCTAGATGCTTGGGTCCGAAGCTTCCGCACGTTCCCACAGTACTTTTCACGCAAGCGAGCGCTCCTAACCACCGACCCTCCTTGACCATTGTCAGTCCCTTGTTGAACCTCGACACCCGGTTCTACTATTCTCCTCTTCTTGGCTTGGCGACCTGGAGTGTCCTCCTCCCTCAACTTTCTCTTTCCCTTACCCGTCTTCCTCCCTATTTTGGGTGGACCCAACCGTTTCCACGATCTCCATACCGACAACTGTTCTTCAGGAGTTAGGCTCTGGTGCCACCAGCAAGGCACAACAACACTGTCACCGCCTCTGTTAGCAAACACGTCGATAACTCGATAAATCAGGCCACGAACGATTTCCCTCCAAGTTTGAAAACCTTTGCATGACCAGAAAAGTCCATGGGCCCGACAGTATATTTCCTGGTATGCTGTTTAATATATCTCATCGTGTTCTTCTTACGTTTCTCGTCTGATTGGGGCTCAAAGACCAAGGCCGTGGGAGGGGAATTGGACTCGTCGGGTTTTGTACTTGCGAACGGAGCATGGAGAACTGTCCATATTCCGCCATCTCCTCCGGTTTTGTATAGCCTTGTTGGGAACCTTGCTCTCTTCCGGTCACGGATGAGAGGGATATCCAGCACTATATTGTCTGAAACCCGACCGCAACAACCTTGAGGAAATAAATTACAGCAGAGATGTAGACACTGACCATCTTTGTCGTCGATATCCCGTTCAAGAATTTCAAGACTAGGGTCATCGTCGTCTGAATCAGTCAGCTCCGTTAATTCCGACATGATATCTGACACCTGCAAAAAAAATCAAATCAAATCCGTGAAGAAAATGCCACTAACATCTGGGCCAAGCTCTTCGTCGTCCTCAAACTCTTCTTCAACCTCGTTGGTTGCACCTGTAGCGCTGGCATCAGACTCCAGATATCTGATGAGAGGATTGATGGTATCCCCGTGTTCGCGAATGAGAAATTCCACTTCCTCGTCTGTTAGATCTGGCAGCGGCTTAAGACTCAACCTCTGAGCTCTCGAAAGCTCTGGGGGCAGGCGGGCATAAAAAGTGCGCATGGCTGGTGTCACTGCTGCTTCCAGACGTGATTGGTGCTCCCACTCAGTAGCGCCTAACAGCAGAGGACCCAAGCTTCCGAAATGCAGAACAGCATCAGTAACCTCGCCGATATCGAACATCGACGGAGCTTCAGCCATATCGGTTTTGGCAAGTTTGAAGAAATTGTCCTTGTGCATCTGTCCTTCGAGATGAGTGCGATCGCTCATTTCCTGTTAACAGAACAGTCAAAGTCAGAACACCAAAAATCAATAAGACATGCATTGTATTTTCTGATTGCCCGGCCGCGTCGCGAACTTGTCAAACAAACTAGCTGGCGATGAACCGCAAGATCCCTTGTGTATCTTCACTTCCAATCAGATTAGACGGTTATCGAATAATGAAGATCAATTTACCGTTCAACATCCTTTGGAGTGGTCATGATCATGAAGCTATCTGGGCCTCTTTTACGGTTCAACTCCATACTGCGCCATAAAAATTTACTGTAATTTTTATCGGCCCCAGTGCACTATCACAGAAACTAAGTACTTACTCCTCATCCAAGCAGTGTTGCATGAGTATCTGTCTCAATGCAGTCCAACAGGCGGCCAGGTCTTCAGGCTTCTGTCGGACAGATTTCCAAGTCCTAAAAGGAGCAATACCTAAGACACCTTCGTAAATTGTATCAACTAAAGTAGATCAAATTACCGGAAAGGTGGAGAGCCTCATCTCTTGTGTACTTTCCAGCCGCCCTACAAGGTTGACTTCCGGATAGCGTCAGCACACTCGAAACAGAGCGCCGGTCCAGAGAGGAACCAATTTTTTTCAACCATTTTGCTGCAAATTTGCCCCAGTTCCAGAAATCAAACACGATATCTAATTTCGGTGAGTTTTGGTGAGCGGTGGTCATATTTTTCAGTGAGAATAGACATACCGGGAACTCTGTGTGGTCTCAGCTGTTCCATTTCCTCTGGTGACAGCCAGTACGTCTATAATGACAACGGTCAGCACCATCTACCAGTTTACACTAATATGGTGACCCACCCGAACATTATTGTCATTTGAAAGCCAGGCAAGAACATGGGTCTCAGTTTCCAGTGCAAGAACAACCTTGTAGCCGCGTGACTGACACACCATTTGGTCATACATTAATATTCGAAATACGCAACACCTACCATTTCTGGAACCTGCGCTGTCCAGATCCAGTCTTGTGTCGTGAAAACCTGTGGAGAGCAGTGCAGCAATGGCTCTACCTGGGTGTAAAATTAGCTCTGTGGTACGGACACTGTAGACAGACTACCTCGAGATAGCATGTTTTCAGGTTGAGAATGATGTCGCGCACATCGTACTCAACACCCACAAGTTCCATCCCGGTCTCCTCTATGGCTGCATTAGCTCCAATCTATTCAACCACATAACTTAATCATATAGGTACCAATTTCAATTCACTCACCGTCGGGTCATCTAACATTGGGAAAAGTGTGTTTGGCCACAAGTACCTGGAAGTATCTGTCCCCCGCTCATCATCGCCGGATGCACCCTTGGTCTTTTTGCCTCGATTCTGTGCACCGACTCCCAAGGATGTGAGCCTTCCTGAAACGTTCCGCTTGTGTTGAACAGGTGTGGAATTGGAGAAATTAAAACTTGTGAGCAATGTCTGCTGGCTCGTGCTCGCTTGGCCGCTGCGGTACACTCAGTAATACTACTACCTAGATCAAAATGCGACTAACCTGGCCGCGGACGGTGCCTTCGTTTGACATTTCTTTCCTGTTTTATTATTGCTCTTCGAACGCGCTGCCTGTGGACTTGATGCCAGATTTAACTTTTCGACTTGTGCAGCAGGAGGGTACAACGAATAGGAAGTCGTTAAAAGCATCGTGATATCCCTGAGCAATTTCCGACTCTGGCGGTAGAGTGGTGCAAGTTTGCGAAATGGACGGTAACCTAGCTGGTTGCAGCATGATGTCAACTTTGCTAGGCGGGTGGAAGTGGAGATATCCAGTAGCAGTTCACTCGTCTGTTGAGCCACCAATAGACCCTGATGAATGGTTATTCAGTACCGGACAGTCCATTCTTCTCCACATTCAAGTACCTTGTATATGCATTCACACAAAATAATTCTCCGCTTTTCCATGCTAGAAAGATCAGCACGAACATTTGCCGATGAATCTAGCTGCAGTACGGTGGTAGCATAAGTTGGTGACACCTCAATTGAAGTTGAGCGGGGCTGAGTATTGTGGTTTTGGGAACCTACCTGAAGTGCGTCCAACAGCTCACGTACACGAATATGAGTTGTAATTCGTAAACCCAGCTAATAGTTGACGTTAGAATTTAGGTCCTCAGGAATCAAAGCACCTACCAGCGTAGCACATAAACTAGCACATGCATCATGGAGAGCTTCACCGTTAAGCTCAATCAACTGGACATATTGTTGCAGTTTTGTTAGTGCCCCGATGATATTGCTTCTGACATCGTCGTCCCAGGCACGATCCGAAAGGGGAGACCTTAGAGCAGGGTCTCGTGGGTCTGGATCGACTCCACGCCAGGCCGGAGGGACATATCGGCCCAATCGTATGGCCAAATGGCTGTTTGACGGTTTGTCATACACTATATCTGCTTCCTCGGGAAGGGTACGTCCGAAGCGTATATACCAAGGCTCAGCAACTGTACGTTTACTGTTTCAGTAGTAGGGGTAATTTGAACAGCGAAACCTACGTATTTCTTGCTCTACAATTACATCTGGGCGAAGACGGTAGATAGCCTGAGTGAATTTTGTCCAGTCGTCGTAATTTTTTGAGACTTGTTGTCGGTAGCCCTTCGGGAGTAAAGCCCAAACCTTGTAGATAGAACTTAAACAGTATCAATAGATATTGAGTCTGGACCTACCCTCCTAATCATGAGACCGTGCGTATCTGGAATGGCATCGGCGAGGCGGTGAAGACGAACGACCCAGTCGCGATGGCGGCAATCTTCCAGCATCTGCCTTGTCAAAGTGGCTGCATAAGCAAGGAGTCGCTCTTCTCGCGCTTGCATTCCTGGTTCTTCTCGTCCGACGGTATCCGCCCACAGAGCTTTGATTTTGGGCGAAAGGCCACGAATATGGAGCCTGCAGATGAATCTTCGTATATACGCTCGCAAGATCCTAATTTCTTTGCCTTCTGGCATAAGGAGCAGTCCTGGGTGGTTGACAGGGTGTGTAACTAGAGTGGATGGAAGAGCGGCGACAACGTGGTATTTGTGGTTAGGGTTACATCAGATAAGGGAGCAACAAAACTTGGTCGGCGCAAGTACACTCAGTTTCGATGGCCGCCATCCTCGCCGCGCCGTAGGCGCCACACAGCTACACGGACCATACCGCCGCACTGCTCCGCTGCAGAGGCACACAAGCGCGCCAGCCACCTTGCGCTGCGCAGCCTCACCCTCAGCGTCTTCCACGACCCACCAAAAAGGACATGCGCGCGACGCGCGACGTTCCGTCTCC